CTCTCTCTCCCGCTCTCTCTCTCTCTCGCTCTCTCTGCTTCTGTGTCTTCCCAGCCCACTCTATTGGAGGGGAGACACCTTGCGTAGGTGATGAAAAAATGTGGAAGGGGTTTCGTTTGTTTTTTATGTTTTAGGTGGTTTATGATGGTCTTCTTGCTTTGGAAGGAAAAACTAGAGGTAAAATAAGAAGAAAGAAGAGCGAAAGCAGGGGAAAGGAAGGGGAAAGCAAAAGAACAGAGGGATAATTGAAGAAAAGTGAAATTAGTAAATTACGGTCAGATACATTCCTTCATGTAATGGCCGTAATTGCGGGTTGTCCTGGATGTATCTGACCGTAAGAATGTCCACGACTGAGTCAAAAAGGTGGGGTCATTCTGGATGTATCTGATCGCAAGTGCGGCCAGGGCTGAGTCAAAAAGGTGGGGGTCGCCCTGGATGTATCTCACCATGTATGTCCAGGGCTGAGTCAAAAAGGTGGCGTTGACCTTCTTGGTGGCTGATTGGGGACGGGTTTGCAATGAGTGGTTAATTTCAGGTAAACAGATCAAGAGTCTTTGTTTTTGTGTTTTAAATCAGATCAAGAGTTGAGATTTGGCTGGATTAAAAAATGACAAATGAGTTAGGTTGGATACTGGATATGTAGTGTAAGGAATGCTAAAAGCATACTCAAACAAGAACTTTCCTAATTGTATCTGACCGTAATTACGACCGAAACTGGATGAATCTGACTGCAATCACGTCCAGAGCTTAGTAGGACAAAGTCGTAGTGTGAGTATGCCCTAAGTGCATCAGAGACACCCCTCTGGAGGTAGATGCGAAGTGTGGTAGGTAATAGATGAAAAAAAACATCAGACAGGTGCCGCCAGGCACCGCGGTCTTCTGTGCATCTGGCCTATGGCCTCTGAGGGTCGCAAGAATACAGTGCGAGCCCACAGACGTCTATTGTGTAGTTGAATTTGGCTCAATTGCCCAAGGCGCTTGCAACCAGGTTCTGAAATCCAGACACCCTGCTCATAAATAGAAGACAATTCACATTTTTACCATTTTGTAAATGGAGATTTGAACACGCGACTTCTTGCATGACGGGACAGTGGGCACAGGGTTGTCCATAGCGACACGTCGAATGGCTGTGCATCGCGTTATCTGGCCTGGCAAAAAGGTCCTATATATTTTTTTTCTAATTTGAATGTTTTCTGTTTCTTTTACGAACTAAAACAGGTGCAGGGGAAAATCAACAGGTGAGGTGCAGTTGTCAATGAATTTTATGTTTTGTCTGAAAATCTTATGTTCTTGTTTTTGGCTAAATGCACGTCGTTCAGTAACTACTTGTTTTGGGGAGTACTGGTCCGTTCTTGTTCTTGCCTCTCTGTATGTACGCTTGCTGTTTGCTGTGTGGTCTCGCCTCTTTTTCTTCCCTTTTGCCTCTTTGTCTTCCCTTTTTTTTATCTTCTTCTAGTGATGTCCTGTCTCCTCCTGCCTTCCTCCTCTCCACTTCCTCCTCCTCTCGCTTTCCCTCTCCATTTTCCTCCTCTCCCTTTGCACTTCCTCTCCATGTTCCGCCTCTTTCCTCCTGCCTCCCGCTGTTATATGATGTTGTCATGACTTATTTCGGCCTCCTCCACCGTGGTTGCTTTGGGTGTGCTTTGCTTGAACAGATTATCACAAAGGCTTCACTGCTTGCCGCACAGGTGCGTGCATCCCTATCTATGGTCATTCTGAGGGGAGTGTGATTTATTTATTGGGGTTTTGAGGGGACGATGATTACAGTTTTCTCAATACTCACCACTGGAGCAGACTACCCCAAAATGTCACAAGAGGCCAGTCAATGCTGAGGTTGCAGGATTTGGAGTTGAGGAGCTGTGGTTGCCTATGGTAAGTGGCCACACCCCCACAGACCGGACAGGAGCGGTTCGGGTGTGGACTGTGGAAGCACCGCATCCAATTTTCGTAGTTGCAGTTGCTGCATCAAATGGCACGGTTTAGACAGATGTCACAGGCTGGGTGGGTCCTACATGCTAGGAACACAGGCATGCCGACCCCAATGCACTGATATTAAACCACCAGTACACCCGGGCCTGGAGAAGCTGCACTGTGTGCCAATCTTTTTGAACCGACAGATGTCACAGGCTGGGTGGGTCCTACATGCTAGGAACACAGGCACGCCGACCGCAATACACTGATATTAACCACCAGTACACCCGAGCCTGGAGAAGCTGCACTGTGTGCCAATCTTTTTGAACCGACAGATGTCACAGGCTGGGTGGGTCCTACATGCTAGGAACACAGGCACGCCGACCGCAATACACTGATATTAACCACCAGTACACCCGAGCCTGGAGACGCTGCACTGTGTGCCAAGCTTTTCCGAACTGCCAGCGGTGCACTTTTTTCTTTTCTGGCTGGCGCAGCCAGTTATTATCGTTCGGCAGGCCTGAGGGGTGCAATTTTTGGAGTAGGCGACGAGCGAATCTCCACAAGGCTGGGGCTGTGTACTAGCGGTTTAACAGTGGTATGAGTTCAGGTATCACATGGCTACAGCTGGCCAGGGCTGGGTTAAAGGCAGGCGCATGGCAGGGTCAGAAAGGGGACAGGTGAGGAAAACTTGGATTGCAAAGTATCGTTCGAGAAGGGACAGCTGGCAATAGCTGCACGCTGCCAGCTGTCCCCTGTTTTGTTTTCTGCGTCCTTATGGCGTGCTCACGCTAGCTCTCTCTCAAATGTGTCTGACTGCATTTACGGCTGGACCTGGATGTATCTGACCGTAATTGCATCCACAAATAAGTAAAAAAGTCGTAGTGTGAGTATGTCCTTAGAGGTGTTCTTGTGTTTGATTCTCCTGTGCAGAACACGGGTTTCATTTTATCGCTTGAGGTTGTCGAGTGCCAGCTGTCGTCTTCGGTTTCCCCTTTTGTCGGGGGTTTCCTCTGTCTGCTGTCAGCATATTCTTTTGTCTTGTATCTGTCTTGTCTGTGTTTTTTCATTGTTGTTTTTGGGTCTCCTAAATCTTTGCCCTGGTTCATCCTGATAGTTGAGAATTCATCCGTGAGCTCTTTGAAAAAAATTACGCAGCACCCCCAGCCGTAGCTGGCCGTAGCTGTATTCCAACGGCTATCGAGCAGCCCCAAGCTGGTATCCCCCACCCCCCCCACCCTCTCTACATAGCACCTCTGGCTGTATCCCCAGCCGTGGCTGTATACAAACAGCTATTGAGCAGCCCCAAGCTGGTGAGTCACCCCCCTCCTACCCNCTCTACATAGCACCTCTGGCTGTATCCCCAGCCGTGGCTGTATACAAACAGCTATTGAGCAGCCCCAAGCTGGTGAGTCACCCCCCTCCTACCCTCTTCATAGCACCCCTGGCTGTGTACCCTGTTCGTAGCTGTATTCAAACAGCTATTGAGCAGCCCCAAGCTGGTGTTTCACCCCCCTCCCCCTTCTTCATAGCATTCCTGGCTGTGTGCCCAGCCGTTGCTGCATTTGAACAGTTATTGAGCAGCCCGGAGGTGGTGAGCCACCCACCCCTCCTCCCCCTCYCCCCYCCCCCCCCCAAAAAAAAAGAAAAAAAAAAAAAARAAAAAAAARATAGGAAGTTCGTGACACCCTGACAGCGTGTCTGTTCTTATCTAATGAATGGATTGAATGTATGTCATATGTCTGTGCGTGCAGAGCCAGGATCTTTGCCAGGTGGTGGAGCTGCTGCGCGTGAATGTGAATCAGGCGCGAAGTCTGCTCATTCATTATCGGTGGAATGTGGAGAGTCTGTCTGGGAGACTCGGGGAACTGGGTGTGGATAAGGTATTCCAAGAAGCGGGAATTCCTTTGCGAACAGAGGATGATTCTGATGCCGACACCCCCACCATTGATGCACCATCCACTGCTGCGGCAAGTAAAGATGGTCATGTGTACTGCAAGAGTTGCATGGATGAGACAGCTATTGAAGAATCGACGACCATGGATTGTGGGCACATATTTTGCAACGACTGTAAGTGAAGAGGAAAAACATGTTCCTCTTCTCATCTCCTCCCCCTGGGGGTGATCTTTCCTCTGTGCTGCTGAAAGAAAATAAAGGAGATGGTAAGATTAGAAAAGGAAGGAAAATTTGAGTGACTCCTCTCTGTGCCTCCCGAGAGAGAGGAAGAAAGGATGTTAGAAAGGGGTTGTAAAAAGAGTAAGGAAAGGGTAAGGAGGGGGGTGGGGGGTGGGGAGGAGGGAGTGGATTGTGTGCAGGCATTCCAGTAATAACATCAGTGTGAAGGAAAAGAGCCTCCCTATTCTCCCCTCCCCCCCTTTTCTCCTCGGTGTAGTCCCCGATGCTCTGCTTGTAAAATTAGAGAGAAAGTTGTAAAGAAGGAATCAAGGGGATAATGTCGTAGAAGAGTACAATGTCTTTGGTTTATACATGGAGAATGATGGATTGGATAACGTCATGTGCTTGAACGTCATGTGCTTGATGCTGTCTATGCTTTTTGCCTTTCTCTTGTTTATACATGGGAGACTGATGGAGTGGATAACATCATGTGCTTGATTCTGTCTATGCTTTTTTCCTCTTCAATTTCTTTTTCTTTAATGAATGTCTTGTATTCTTATGATCCTGGACAATTTCAAAGTACACATTCATCAGAAAGTACAATGCCGTCCAATTGCAAAAAGAAATGATCGAACTTGAGAGGAGAGAGAGGGAAAGAACAAGAAGAAGAAGGAAAGAAGAAGAAGATGAGCTAATGCTCTTCTTCTTCGCCAACCACTCTCCTCCTCTCTTATTCAAACAAGAAGTAATAATAATAATGTTGAATGGTTGAACCAGAATCAATGTTCGAATCCCTCTTCTACTGCAGGTATCACATGAGGTCCACAATAGCCATGGCCACCCTTCTTCCTCCTTCCTCCAAGGCCGTGGCTATTGTGGACTATTAGGGCATTGCCCTGCGGTCCAAAGGACAATACAAAGCAGCTATGGCTGCTCTAGCTCAGGCCGCCATGCCTGACTCTGCCTTGAAGCTTCTTGGTGTAGCTCTACCCCAACTGAGGCCTTCTTGCTGCAGCGCCCACCAAGGTGATGAAGATGGCAACCACCATAGCCAGGTAAGTACCTCTGGCGCTCCTCCCTCCTAGTACTGGTCTTCTTCCTCCTGTCCTTGCTCCTCCTTGCTAGCATTGCCCAGCCAGCGCTCCAACCAGTGTGTTGCCAAACATGCACGCCGATAATGAGGAGGAGCTCTTTGCTTCTCCTGGAGATATAGCGGCCTGCTTGCCTCTCGGTGAGTGACTTCCTTGGCTGTGTGGCCTCCAAGCAACTGGTACCTCCTCCCTTTCAAAGGGAAACATCATTGCAGACTCTGATAGTGGCCGCACAGGCCTTAGACTCAGACTGGTTAGACTGGTACCCGCCTAGACCTAGCCTACAACTACTGAAATTGCCATATTTTGTCTTTTTCTTTTTGGCCTAGAGTACCCGGCACATCTACCTCTACTTGGTGTGGCACCGGCCTACCGCTACTCGAGTGTTTTCCGCTTGTTAAGTGTTGCGGGCCTCTTTCCTCGCCGCTTAAGTGTTTTCCCCGCTGCAACCCTCAATGTCACAGCCACAGGTAAGTACTGGCCCTTCGGGCGTTCTGAACAAACAAGGGCCAGCCGACAGGCACTGAGACAGGCATGCAGACCAGCAAACACGCACCCACACATACATAGAAAACTCAGTAACAAGCGGCAAACTCAGTAAGGCATACATTCCATGAGCAAACCTCAGAAATCAGCTGTCTCAGTCTGTGTTTGACAGGTCATTACACTACCCCCCCTCTCAAGAGCAAGGTCCCTTCGAGTGAGTAACTCATTCAGAGTCCCCGACAAATGCATCGTAAGCGGACATAGCATAGAGATTTCGTGAGTACTCAGTAGCAGTGAGTTTTGCAGAAATTTTTGGTACAGCATTAGAGGTTATCTGTTGCTCGTATGCTTTAACAACGCGAGGTGCGCTTCACAGCAGTTCTTTGAGATCCAATAGAGAGCGTCCAACGGGTGATACATGAAATGAATCTGGTATTGTCTGTTTTTCCCCTACGTGTCTTTTAATTCTATCGATCTCGTGATTGCCATTGATTGAACGACGGATCATGTATTCATGATAGTTAGCATCACGATATATAAACAACTTTCATGCATGAAAGACTGGGTATGTGCGTAGATGAGGAGGCATGACAATCACGCATGACGGACCGAACTTGTCGTCACCAATCACATCCAAGACTTCCCTTGGACAGTAAAAGAGGGAGAATTTTGTGTGACACTCCCTCTTCTTGCAAAAACTCCGACATCTTGACCCAGACATAACTTCTCACTTTGATAGTTGAAGGTGTGCGCTTCTTATTCGCATGATGGATCATGGCGTGTTGTCGCTTGGGCATTGCTGCAATGACAACCTTGAGCAAGCGACAATACTTGGGGCTAAAGCCACATCTACAAAGCGTTAGTCCAATCGGTGTTCAGGGAATAAGTAGGAGAGCGGATTATGTATCTGCCAACCGTAATGCAGCCTGTTTGGCGTCATGCTGATGGAAGAATGGATGGGGTCGTTGACAACCCCTTGACCAAATATAGCTCTTCATCCCACGTTTCCTGATCCGGAGTAATTATAGCACAGAGAAGTTGAAACACGGTCTGATTAATCTCCTCAGCCAAACCGTTGGCTTTGGGATGTCGACCAGATGTCATGCTCAGTTTGAGGCTAGGGATTTGGGACGTGAAGTCCGTCCATTCAGTACTTATGGAGCACGGGTCCTGATCACTCACAAGGGTTTTCAGTGTCCCGAACGATAGAATGTACTTCTATTGGAACTCACGGATCACAACTTCAGTTGGGGCATGAGGTGGCTATGGAATGAGATTGAGGAATTTAGAAAAGCGATCACGAATCACCATCACTTGAGAATAACATTCTTACTTATCTTTCCCATGTCGGTGAAGTCGATAGAGACAGACTCTCCGGGATCGTCAGGAATGGAACGAGGTTTAAGCAGCCCTACGGGTTTGTGTCTTGATGGTTTGATTCGTTGATAGACTTGACACTCAGGCACAAACTTTTCAACATATCCTTTCATACCAGGCCAATCAACCTGTTGTAGTAGGTTTTTGTAAGTCTTTGCCATGCCGAAGTGTCCACTACTACTGTGAGCCAAGTCCAAGAAGTGGGTGCGGAGAGACTCATGGTTGGGCACATACAAACGGTCATTCTTTTCGTAACGTCGGAAAAGCAGTCCTTCGCATTTGTGAAAATCAGGCTGGCTGCTAGGGTCAAGCACAAAGATTGGAGAAAGGTTTGGATCCTTGGCAGTTCGCTCCACAAGTTCCTTCGTCAGTTTCTTTCGAAGGTCATATGAATTCACAAGGCAAGTCATATACTCGGGGTGGCGAGACAATGCATCAACAATGCGATTATAACATCCCTTTTTGTGTTTTAATTCAAAGTCAAAGATGTTGATCTCATGGAACCAGCGAGTCAATGTGGGGGACATGGTGGTTTGCTCCTTGATCCATTTAAAGGTCTCATGATCTGAGAAGACCTTGAAACGACATCCCAAAAGATAGTGCTTCCAATGGTTCAATGCCTCGCGCAATGCAGAGAGCTCGTGCATGTAGGTGGAAGTGGCTACCTTTGCGCTGGGCATGTGTTTGCTGTAGTATAGGAGCGGCCGCAAACCATCACCATCGTCTTGTTGCAGCACTGCGCTAGTCCCATACCGGCTTGCATCCGTAGTGACTACGAGTGCGAGTTTGGAATCTGCAATGCAGAGTACATGATAACTTACCAAGGCCTCTTTCACGACTTGAAAAGCGGTCTCACATGTTGCATCTATGTAAGATACGCTTTTGCTTGTGAGTTTGGACAAAGGGCAAGCAACAGTAGAAAATCGGGGCACAAACTTTTGATAGTATGATGCAAGACCAAGAAAAGATTGGAATTCCCTCACGTTCGCGGGTTGAGGCCACTTACGTATGATGACCTAAACCTTGGTTGCCTTAGGCTTAACGCCCACAGCAGACAACGGGTGCCCAAGATAAACGATGCGTATGACCTAAACCTTGGTTGCCTTAGGTTCAAGGCTTGCTGTAGACAACCGGTGCCCAAGATAAACGATGTTGTCCCTCCCTAACTCAGATTTCTCTAAGTTGAGAAGGAGCTGCGTTTTCCTGAGGATGGTGAACACTTTCTCAAGGTGCTTCAGGTGTTCCTCAATTGATTTGTTGAAAACCAAAATGTCATCCACATACATAACCACAAATCAACCAATCTCTCAATTGACCCTGTCCATGAGACTTTGAAAGGTGGCTGCGTGCGTTGTTGAGACCGAAGGGCATTACTGTATTCGTAAAGCCCATCGTGTGTCTTGAACGCAGTCTTGTGCTGGTCTGCAGGATCGACTTTAATCTGGTGGTATCCAACATTGAGGTCAATTTTGGAAAAGACCTTGCACCCACCTGCAACATCAAGCAAATCATCTATGCGTGGCAGTGGGTGAGCATTATTTCCTGTGATGTGGTTTAGACCGCGGTAATTAATACACATACGAAGTTTGCCTCCTTTTTTGAGGACAAATAGAATGGGTGCGCCGAGTTTGGATTCACTAGGGTTTAATCCATCCCTTGTCGATCATCTCATCGATCTGCTTTCAGAGTTCCTCCAACTTGCCGGGAGGGATCCCATGCGGTATGTGCAGCCTCTTGGATGAACTGCATCTTTGACCAATTGAATTGTATGTTCGACCGATAGCGTGGAAGTCCACACGGTTCGGCCAGAACTTTCGAAAATCGGTAGAGTAGGCTTTGGATGTTTGTCGGGACAAGTGGGGGTACGGAATCAGCAAAAGGATCACCTAGATCAGGTTGCAGATCATTAATGGAGATTATCGAATCTGAAGTAGAGTCATTTGGACCAGAGGTAGGTAGAGAAGTAGAAGTGTCATAAGTAGATAGATTATGAACGGGAAG